AAGATACTCTAGCCCTCACAAGGGGAAGAAAAAATAATAATAAAAAAAAAAGAGTTCTTGCTATCATAGTTAGCTTTGTAACCAAATCACTGTCAGAGAAATAGTGACTTGATTGACAGCTAGGGTCAAACCAAACAGTCACAGGGCAAGGATGAAGAATGGTGTGTGGCTGCTCGTAGGGGGCACGAAGAGGCTTTCAAACCCAGAGGAAGGTCACTTTTGGGCAAAGGTTGAGCCTTTTGCAGCACAAAGTGGTTGCGGTTCTTCTCCACGTGCTGCCCTTTCACACCTTGTCTTGTGCACCTGGATCTCACATGCCACAGAGACCTCAGCCATGGGGTTTGCAGCATGAGATGCTGTGCTGCGGTGCTGGGCACTATCCCCTCTGCCTCCACAGCCCTGCACTGATTTGTGTCACAACTCATTCATCCTCTGCTCACTCCCTTTGGAAAAGGAAGGCCCTGATAAACCCTGCATTCGTGACGGGACGTGAACCATGTCCTGGCACGAATGCAAACAGCATCCCAACTAGAAAGGCAGGGAGAAAAAGGGAGTTTAGCAGAGCAATGAAAGAGGACAGGGAAATCATGAAGATATTGCTCACACTGTACTCAAGTGGCCACAGGAGGACAGCATCTAGCAAGGAATAAGAAAGCTGGTCAGTATTTTCAGATGTTTCCTTGCAAAGTAACACCCACCAGGGAACACCAGACCTATCCATTCAGGAACTGGCCTTTAGCACTCGCTTGTCTCTGGTGCTTCAGGGCTAGTGAGAAAATCCATCTGGTGCCTAAACAGTTCACAGTTCAGTACACAGAGTGTCTTGAGCATAAAGCAGAGATGCAATAAGAAGTCATGACACTTTCCTACTCCATCTTAGCATGCGCAGTCTAAAAAGTGACAAAAAATGATCTTGAGATCATACCCAGAGATTGTCCCGTCCCCATTCAGGTGTGACAGGGACAAAGCTAAACCAAATGCTGTGCATGCCAGCTCTTGGATCCCTGCTTAGTGCCAGGTTGTCTGGTAACTTCCTAATCTAGACGCATGTTAAAATCAGAGAATACAACACACTTGCAACAAATGAAAAACTAAACCAGCATCTCTTCCCTATTCAGGGATAAAACAAGCACAGAAAGTTCTGTCAATATTTTCCCACTAGGAAGAAACAGTTACTTAAAGTAATGGAGAAGTAAACAAACTGCCCATAACATTTCTTGCTGTGAAGCTGAATTTTGCAGTAGGAGTCATTTCCTCATTCAGTCAAACATACCGTGAACCTTTAGGGTAGCTGATGTCTTGTCGCTAGCTGCTTCACATACATATGTTCCCTGGTCTTCGTATTCACACTTCTGAATAGTAAGGCTTCTCATAGTTCCCTGGGAAACAATCTTTATGTTTTTATTTTGCTGAAGCTGCTTCCCATCCTGGAAGGGAAAAGGCCAAACCAAATCACTACCAGCTCTTCTACATCTGTATTGAGCAAAGCAAACATTCAGACTTTTGCTTAATTTACCGATTTTAAGGGAATTAGTGGGATCATGCTTAATGGAACTTCAGCATATGCCAACATTTAAGCAACTACAAATGGTTGGAAAACATGAATAAATTACGGGCTGATGTCAGAGACCTATTTGTTGGGAGTGTATGGGGTTGGCAATTAGCCCCTTAGTATTTCTTCGAAGTGATGTTTTATTATCTCCACTTAAACAAAGAATCAGCGGGAGATGTAAAGCTTGAGCTCCTCTGCAGACTGTCAAGTGAAAAAGGAATCAAGGCTTCACCCTAAACTGCAGTTCCCAAAATCCTGGGTGAAGCCTGCAGCATGTGAAGTGAATCACGAGACTGTATTTCTGTTGACACCAGAGCTCACATTCTGTGCAACAACAGTTCAAGAGTTCACTAAACATTCAAAAAAAGCTTAACTTTTAGCCTGACAAATGCATACAAAATAATCTGGTAAATAAATAACCCATAGATAAATAAAGTGGGCAAATAAATGACAAGGACAAGAGCTGTACTAAAAGCTGAATAGCAAAGGCTCAATCCCCAGGTTGCTTGGAAGTAGGGGGAAAAAAAAAAAGTTCTCATTGACTTTCAGGGACATTAGAAGTGAAAATTTCACTTTTGATTAAGTGCTGTACCTTGAACCACTTAACATCCACATTGGGCCTGGACAGCTCACACTCAAATGTGACTTTGTCCTTCTGAGTTATAGTCATGTTTGACAAAGGCTTGCTGATTCTCACAGGCAATTCTGCAAAAAGAAAAGCAAGTCCAGTTAATGGGGAACCAGGTTTGCTAGAAGCTTTGGGTACAAGGAATAAGCAGCTATCTTACATACTTAACATAGCTTGTATGTGAAATCCTGTTGTTTCTAGTACATTATCATTCGTTGTGTTGTTGATAATCACAACAATTCTGTTAATATTAGAGGGATATACTATTGATGAGGGTCCACATCACATGCAATTGCAAAGAAAGTCCTGCCTTCTTTATTGCTCACTGACTAGGGTAAGAACAGGCAACCAAAAAGTTACCATGTGCACTGTTCCATTTTCATGATGTCGACGCTGTGCATACACGGATGGATCAGCAACACTGTTCACATCTGTGCATACACGGATGGATCAGCAACACTACCCACATCTCTACTGTTACAGTAGTTCTCAGTGGAAAGCTGAGGCCTCAAAAGGTGCTTGAAGAAAGCATAATCAGTGCAGCTTCTTCATGCAAGACAGAACCTGTATCTTTCATTCTCTAAAATTTGTTCAGTACTGAGAAAGTTTGTGGTGTGTCATAGCAGATAATAGATCACAAGCAATAATATGTATAATGCCCAAAGGGAAATGCGGCTCTGTTGCAGAACACACTGATGAGCAGAGCTTCAAAAACAGCTTGTAACTACCCGTTAGCGCAGACATATCCAATGGGATCCCACCGTGGCTGATGACCCATGCTCCACATCCCCTCAGAGCCTGAGACTTTGGGGTCCATGTACCTGTCACATCAAGTGTCCCTGAGGAATGAGTGCCATTCGCCTTGAAGGAGATGAGCCCTGCGTCTTCGAGGGTCAGAGAGGACAGGGTCAGCAAATGTTTCTTCCCCACCACGTCAATCCGGACATTCGGGGAAGGCTTCAGCCGAACTCCATCTCTCTGCCAGATTCCTTCCACGCCTTCGTGCGACACCTCCACCTCAAAGGTGGCCGTCCCTTTCTCACAGACCTCGACGGGCTGAAGGCCTTTCACCAGCGTGATCTTCCTCACTGCAAAACACCACAGACCGGTTGGAAATCTCACAGTGATGCCTGGGGTAATTCTCCGCATACCTGCTGTGAAATAACCCAAGGACTTTCACAAGTCCTTGAAATAGATTCTTCATTAAAAAACGACCTTTGCAATCAAAGAAAACCTGGCCATATTGTTACCATGGTTGCTGTTCTTAAGTGGATGCTATCAGCTGGGACAGACAGGACAACCAATCTGCAATCAAAGAGTGGGTCTTCTTCCAGCCAGTTCAGCTCCATTCACTTACTGGCAATGCTAGGAATAAATTTTGAAGTTGTACACACATACACAGGAGTAGAGATATTCCTGTGCTGGGTGAGGTGCTCACCAATAACTATCAGGATGAAATACTGTAAAAGGAGCCAAGCCTTTATTTAAGTTAATATATAACTATAATATTTTTGTATTGGTGCCATGCTCCCTGGGCTGTACAAAGAGAGCAAAGCTACTACACATGCTTATTGTTGAAACAGGATTCGAGAAAAAGATCAGTGCTAGGGATTAATAGAGAAGCACAAAGGAATGGATGAAACTGTTCAGCTCTTCACGTAGGGTGAGATGAGGGAAGCAGGGCTAGCTCCCAGCCACACCAGGGACCTTTCAGGCCTGCGAATATCTCTGGGGACCACTGAGTCTAGATGAGGGCTCTGCTCTGCCTCACAGTTTAGCAGAGGAGCACATGCCTCCTCTGAAGTCCTATCCAACTCCTCTCCCAAGGAAATCCCTTGCATGGTCCCCTCTTGGACTCAAACTGTTTAAGCACAAATTTGCCCCAACAACACATTTTGAACCTCACTAACGTAGGAGGAAGATTGTTCTTTGCTTCCCAAACTGAGACACCAACTCCCTGGCTTTGCCCTTTGCCCTTTTGCCTTTGACATCCATCCCTGATTTCTCATCTAATTTTGCAGCCAGTCCCTAGCCCTTCCTGGTTAACTTGCCAAACTAAACATCATGTACCTGTAGCAATCTAAGCTCTCATCTCAGTTAATAGATATTCCAACTCTTCAAACAGTGAATGGGCTGAGACAAAACTGGAGAGGAAGGGAAAGTGATTTTCATGAACATCGACTAAATAGACAGCATAGCAATTCCTAACTCAGAAAGTTACCTCCTAGGCATAGCCTCAGCCTGTAATGTATGCAGGACTGAAAAAAAAAAGTTTTTCTAAAGATTTTTTCTTTTATAAAGCAGCAGACAGCTAGGGCATGATGGAATTTTTACCAGATTTAATAGATAGTATTTCATGTCAAGAGATTTGAAATTTCATATTTATGTTCTCAGTATAATTTGTGCTATAATTAGCTAACCTAATTACACTATCCAGGGGACTGGGAGACCATTCAACTTACTTTCTACATTGATCTTGGCTTGCGTCTTGTCATCAGGACTCTCACAGCAGTAGAAGCCCCTTTCTGCAAAGGAGATGTTCTTTATCACGAGGATGTGCTTCGTTCCCTCGTCTTTGATCTCTATTTTCTCACTGGGCTTCAACTCAATTTTGTTTCTCATCCATTTCACTTCTGCAGGTTTGGTCAGCTCAACCTCCAGGGTTACTGTGTCTCTTTCTTCAACCGTTTTGGGCTCCAGTTTCTTCTTGAATGAAACTGGGGCCTCTGTTGGAGGAGAAAAATATTAGCAAAAATTTGGAGGATCCAGAAAATAAGTTGCTGGTGGGAATTAAAATAGTGGCCATCTGGGCATCTTTATTTGATAAATTGAAAGCAGCAATGTCCTGCTACTCATATAATTCATCAAGGGGAGGCCATATAAAGCATAGGCTATAGCATAGGGCTAGATGGTCAAAGGCGCATGATTGTCCCTTACCTCGGACCCTCAGCTTGGCACTGCTTTCTACACCCTCAGCTACGGCAGAGATTTCAGCTGCATCTTCCATTGTCAGGTCAGTGATTGTGAGGCTGTGGTTGGCATCCTTCTGCGAGATCACATACTTCTTGCTGGCCTCAATCTTGGCGCCGTTCCTGTGCCACGTAACCACAGCATCACTGGGAGAGACGGTACACTTGAACACGGCCTCTTTTCCTTCTTCAGAAACTGTGTTGTTGAGACTTGTGACAAATTTCACCACTCTAGGAGCTGATGGAAAGGAAGAAAACACTTAGGAGCATGTCTTGGAGACATGGTGTGAACACCTCCAAAGAGCAGATTCAATGATTTTATCAAATGGATCAATATATCATTTACAGTGAGTCACCATAATAAGGGGTATCTCTGGCCCACATTTTATATATAAAGGTGCCAGAAGAACGAGGAGCAAAGAAACTAAAATGCAAATATACATTTTATCTGCCACCTATAAAATGCTTGTTTCTTACAGGAAAAAAATATTTATATAATTCTTTCTTCTCTCATTTTTGTAATTCTAGATCTAACTAAGAAGAATTATTAATATGATATTCCTGAATTTACAGCCTCTTTTCTTATCCATTTGCCTTATTTCCATTCTCACACATTCTCACACAGCATCCATCTAGATTTTCTTAGTGGCCTTTCCCCACAGCTCTATTTCTGTGTTTTAAAATCTCCCACTTCCAGCTCATTTTCAGCTGGAATCACTGGAAAAGGCTGCATGATCATGTGAAGGAGATGATAAACAAAACTACTTAGCACTGATTTAGCCCAAAAGTCTTCCACCAAATTCTATTCACCTTAACCACTCATCAAACCACATAGAGCCCCCAGAGTGAAAACTCACCAGTGGGTACAATCTTGAAGGTCAGCTTCTCACCCGCAGCCTCACAGGTGTATTCTCCAGCATCTTTCTTATCCAAATGCTCTATATGCAGGTGTCGAGTTTTACCCAGAGACTCAATTTTAAAATTTTTAGAGGAAGCAAGCAGTTTTCCATCCTTGTACCACTTCACGTCAGTTGCATCCTCTGCTACCTCGCAGCTGAGGGTGGCCTTTTCGGTGAGGACAGCATGCACCTCCTTCTCGACCTTCTCCAGGTTTATAAATACAGGTTTTGGTTCTGAGTGCAGAAAAAGGAGAAAATATCAATAGAGATTAAAATGAAGTCATCTTACAGACATGTGTGCAGACACCTGGAAAGCATCAAGGTTACCATTGATGTTAAAAACAGATATCTTCACTGGACAGTATCTAGTCTTCTGTGCGCGCAAACAGCAACATGAAAATTAGGGAAGTAAAACTCCAGGAATGTAAAAGACCAAAGAGTCCTTGATAACACTTCTGTGGTTGAAAACATGCAAATGAGGACAAATTCAGAAACTTCCACAGATATCTTTCTTGTATATGACAAACCCCTCCACTCCCCCAAAAATCTTATGATTAAGAGCTATATATTTTTTATAAAACTGATTATCACTCATCAAGTCTCAGCAATTTCTCTCACAGTTCAACTGGTTTCAGGTATCCTCACTGCTAGTGCAGCTCTGTGCTCAGAAATGCCTGATGGCTGGTAACAGCCTGGTGAGTACTTCTTCAACAGCATCTTTCGAATTTCTTCTGAAAATTCTAAAAATGTCTGTAGTCCTCAAACTGATGATTCTTCATTGATTCCTCCATTTCTTGACTGGCCTCCAATCCTTTGTTCTTTGCATGTAGCCTTTAGATAGTCTACTTTACTCCTGGTTCCACTACTCCGTCCTACCCAGTTTTACACAATGAGTGTCGGACTCGCTTCTCTGATTGCGTCTGCACTGCAAATGGGTCAAGGTGTTGCCTGGAGGAGCTCAAGTTGCTTCTCCCATGACATGCCACATGCAAAAGGCACGCTCCTGTCACATCACACACATCTGTCTTTGCCAAGAGGTTCAGGGCACAAGATGGCCCTTTGGAAACCCAGAAGTGAAAAAGACCTGAACAGGATATTGTTTCTATTATAATAATTTCTGCAATTATTATAATATAGACTAGTTACAACTATATTCTTAACATGTTAAAAAATATATTTGCTATAAATTAGTCCCACCACACAGTGAACCAGAAAAACTCTACAAAGAGCCCACGCTTTCATAGCTGGGTCATTGTGTGATATGGAACTACAATTATGCTCTACTGAAATTTTGAAGGGTGTCACTCTTACCCGTGACGTTAATCCTGAAGGTCAGTTTCTGGCCGGCAGCCTCACAGGTGTACTCGCCAGCATCTTTCTCTTCCACCTTATTCAACACCAGTCGCCGTGATTTGCCCTCCGACTCCACCTTGAACTT